TTTTTTTTCTTTCTTTTTTAATTCAGAGGTCTTACTGAAACCTACTAGGCTCTACTAATTTATATTTATTTATTTCATAAAGTGTCACCAAGGAACACGGAATAATTTTTCACTTCAATATCTAGCTGGCTATTAGTATAATGAAAACTATTCTTTATACGTACTTTGTGTCTTGTTCTAGGTACTTGTTTTATATTCTTTTATTAGTTCTAATAATCTTTGATTGAATTCTTTGAACTTTCTAGGAATATAATTATATTCTTTCAAACTATGACCATCTGTTATTTGTTTCCCTAACCTTAAGTACTTCTTTTTCTTTCCTATTGCACCAATAGAGCTCTCCTAAAGAATGTAAAATGATGACAAGGATAATGGTAATCTCTTTCCAGTTTCTGATTTTTAGAGTAATGGCTTTGGTCAATGTAATATTTGCAGTTCTTATATATATTCTTTGTCAAATCAAGAGAGTTTTCCTTTATTTTTCTTCCCTTAGAGGTTTTTTGAAGATGAATATAAATTTCAAAAAGTTCATTTTTGGTGTCTAGTGACATAATCATATATTTTGTCTTTTCTTTATAATTTAATACATCATTTTAGTAGAGTTCCTGATATTGCCTCTTGTAGGCCTCTCTGTTCCCATAAGCTCGTGGTAAGTTTGACTTGTAGTTTCTTTTGGCAGCAAACCAGAGTGCTGGAAAGGTAGAGGAGGACTGTCTTTTTGCCTCTATCGACAGGCTTAATGTGAGATCCCAGAAGTCTGGGTTCTATTCCCCCTGCCACAGCCTTATCATTCCTATCTGCCTCGGAATCACTGGGACTTCTATCTCCTTTATCTCCTATTTACTTCTATCTCCTTTATCTCCTATTTACAGTTATTACAAGCAGCACAGGTCTCCATTCCATCTCTCACTCTTCCATGTGGAAGTTCTCTACATCTCCTTTCAGGGCCCCATCAGTGATCCCTCCTATGTTATTTGGTGAAAATACATGGTAATTGGATTTGAACCCAAATATCCTGACTCCAGAGCCTGTACTCTTATTAATTTCTTTTGGATACTGGCTTCCAATAGTAAGCCTTCTCATCTAGGCAACAAAGGTTTCCTGTGTTATTCAGATTTTCATCACTGTGACCAAAATACCTAACAAGAACAACTGAGAGGAGAAAAAGTTTATTTTGGGCTCACAGTTTCAGAGGTTTCCGTCTATGGTCACCAACTCCATTGCTCTGGACCCAAGGCGAGGGAGAGCATCATGGCAGAAAGGTAGGATGGAGGAAAGCTGCTCAGTTCTGGTGTTCAAGAAAGCTGCTCAGTTCATGGCATCAGGGAAGCAGAAGAAGAGGCAGGAAGGGGCCATAAGAGGAAAGTTTCTGGGACACACCCACAGCGATCCAACTCTTCCAGCCATGCTCCACCTGCCTACAGTTAACCACCCACTCAGTCCCTTCAAATTGGGATGGACTGATTAGGTTACAACTCTCACATTCAATCATTTCACCGTGAACATTCCTGCATTGACACAGGGACTTTTGGAGGATACCGTATCCAAACCATAACACCTCCCCAACCCTGAAATTCCACCATTGTGCCCTTTGGACTCATGGATTATCATCTGCCAAACCCCCAATATTATTAATCTTTTCTCCAAATGTTCTTATGACTTCCTTACTCTAAATGAAGCATGTCTCCCCTCTGAGCACACTGTTTCCCTGCAGCTCTCAAAAAGGGCATAATTTCCCCTGCATCCCTTATGCTAGTAACTCTGGAAGTGAATTAGGTATCCTTATTCCTTACTGATACTCATAGATGTATCCTCCCCCTTCCAAAAAACAATCACCTCTGAATGTCTTCACCAATTTCTGCCAAATACAATTTCTCCTTGTGATAAATTATGTATTTATCCTCCATATATTTACCATAGTTTCTCAAAGGTTTAGGTCTTAGGTCATAGTCATGATTCTTTAGTATCACCACTCCTGGTAAGTCAAGAAACTGTGTCAATATATTCCACCTTATCCCTTGTTACTATAGAATAAATAACCACACTCCTAATAAAGCCTCTTCCTTTTACTTATGAATTAGTATATTTATTTCTTGCCTACAAAAGACAAACAAATTATGATAATTTGTAATTTGATAATAAATAAATAAAATAAATTTGATAATTTGTAATTTTCCTTGGGCATCAACATTTTTCTTCCCTGATGGATCTATCTCATCAGAACTCAAACATGCTGTTAATTCTTTATTATAAATGAAAGAATTGTTAAATATTAAAGAAACAAATTGATCAAATTATGTTATATGCATGTATGAATATGCCACAATGAAACCCACTCTCCTGTATAGTTAATATGCACCAATAAAAGTTAAAAAGAAAAGATAATTCTAATTATAGATAAGACATTCTTTTAAATATAGCAAAAAAATAAAATAAAATGAGAAACACTAGTCAACTCATTACTGAGTAATTATAGCCATTCAAAGATAATATAAGAAAGGATAATCATACAGATGAATACAAAGGCAAAATTTGCAAACTAAATCTTGGCACTTTTGGAATTTAACAATGTATAAAATGATACTGTTGGAATTATCTCAAAAATACAAAGCTTCTTTAAGATTATAAACTTTATATAACTGCAATGCAATTCTAATCAAAATCACAACAGATTTTATTTGTGGAACTTGGCAAGGTAACTCTAATATTTACATAGAAAGTCAAAAGTCCAATAAAAGAAGACACCTTTAAAGGATAAATCGTACTAATATGTCTTATGAAATAGTAATCTATGTTGTTTATAAAGCTATAGTAATTAAGTCAGTGCAGTACAACATAAGACAATCATATGAGTGAAATAATATAGTCCCATTTGTATATGGCAACTTGATTTATGTCAGCATTATAGATCATCTTCCTTCACTGATTTAAAAATCCATCTAAAATTATTAAAATTTAAAATTTTTAAAAATTTTAAAAATCCATCTAAAATTATTATATAGTCAATGGAGAAGACAAATTTTTAAGGGACAGGAGAAAGCTACCTGATAGTTGATTTTTGTAAGGAATGTGGTTTCAAGTTAAAGATCATTGTCTTAGATTACCTGGAAATGAGAGCAAGGCCTCAGGCTAGAGACACATTCAGGTAGGAGACTCAGGAAAGAAAATACAACTGTGGAAACTCAAGACGCAGGAAAACATAAAACTAAAGAGAAAATGATAACTATAATGGTGGCCCATGGTTTTCAAAGGGGCAAATATTTGAGCACATTCAGGCTTAGATAGCGATACTGTTCTCTATGCAACTTGTTTTCAGGTATTCATAGGGAAGGTCTAGTTTCTCATTCCAGGCCACAATTTCCCTTTCCAGTTTATCCAGATCTGTTTGGAATTGTCTTAGCACCGCCTTGGGCTCAGGGCTTGAGAAATAGTCTTCTCTGTGATGTCTAGGGGCACCTGTAGCAGAAAGAACAGATGCTTTAGCTCCTAGTTCCAATAAACAAGGACTCAGAGCCCAGCCCCTCACTGCAGTGTCTTTTCTTCAGTTTTGCATACCCCTGAAGTTCCAAAGAGCCCTTCTTACCATGTCTGGCTGCCATTAGCCCAGTTGCCGCACAAAAAGCATCTGAAGGCAGGACTGCTGGACATTGGGTAGTGACCCCATGTCTGTGGCCATTGTTACATCTTCCTTGGTAGTGGGTGGGGGCATCCGCATTGAGCATGGGCCATTAGGAACCCAGTAAAACCAGTCCAGCTTGAGGGGTGGCGGGGAGAAAAGAATCTGGAGTCACTCAAGGACTCTGAACTTCAGGACCCCAAGCTCCAGTTTTCCCCTTCAAGCATCCCGCTAGTCTAGGCACTTGGTTGCACCCACCTAGACCTCAGGGACCGTTGCTGTCAGTGGTCCCTACCTAACTATTATTGATGGCTGTGTGTTGGGCAGTGCATGTGAAGATGCACATGGTAAGGAAATGACAGAGTTGAAGCCAAGACTGAAAAGAGGCAGGGAAACCTAGGAGAAGAAAAAAATTTTTTTAGAAACAGAGCCCCAGAGGGGATAAAGAAATACAGACTTAATTATTAGTATGTGTTCATGCATTCATTTATACATTAATTCAAAAACCCTGGAACTCTATGGATCAGGCACTGTCAAGCCATTGGGACTACACTGGTAGGTACAACACATCAATATCCCTGTCCTCTTACAGCTTAGATTCTAAAATAGAAGGAAAATAAAATAACAAAATTATGTTAAATAGTGGTAAGATTAGTAATAAAACAGGGAAGGGGTACATGAAAACTCAGGAAGGGTTTTTCATAATTTGATTGGTATATATATATCATGGAAAGACTATCTGAAAATCACCTGTGATGTAGGGAGTGCTGTGGTCCAGAGCACAGGCTGTGGCATAAGCCCTGGGTCCCAGTCCTGGCTCTGCTGCTGACCAGTTGCATCAGTTGGACCAATTGATTACCTTCCTTGAACCTTAATATTTTTCTCTGAATATGGCAATAATAATAATCAACAACAACAATAATAACAATAATTACCTTATCAGTGAGATGATTATATAAATCCCCTCAGTACATGGTAGCTATTGCTCTTATGGTAAGATTTGGAGAGTAAAGAGGTAGAAGAGGTTCTTGGTCAAATATCTCCTTTTATAAAAGTGGATAAAAGTCAGTAGGATGAAGACCGATAAATCTTAGGAAAATGGACAAATGCTTGAAAAAGCCTTTCACAGAAGAGGATATCCATATAGTTACTAATTCTATGAAAAGGTACTCAGCTCCACTGGTCATTGGGGGTAATACAACTTAAATATAAAATGTAATAAGACTACCTACCCACTAATATGGCTAAAGAGGAAATAATAGAATTCTCTGTGGTACACTTAAGAGAAAATGAAATGGTTATAACTCGTCCTATGTGAGAAGGAATTAATATTGGTACAATTGCTTCCCTAAACTGTCATAAACTATTTAAAACCATTTCATTTTGTTGATATAAATTTCCAGTTTTCCCAGCACCATTTGTTGAAGAGGCTATCTTTTCTCCAATATATGTTTTTGGTACCTTTGTTTAATATAAGATGACTGTATTTATGTGGGTTTGTCTTTGTGTCCTCTATTCTGTACCATTGGTCTACAAGTCTATTTTGGTGCCAATACTATGCCATTTTTATTACTAGTTTAAGGTCTGGTAGAGTGATGCCACCTGCTTCACTCTTCTTGCTAAGGATTGCTTTAGCTATTTTGGTCTCTTTATTTTTCCAGATGAATTTCATGACTGCTTTTTCTCACCATGCACAAAACTCAACTCAAAGTGGATCAAGGACCTAGGGATTAAACCAGAGACCCTTCACCTAATAGAAGAAAAAGTAGGCTCAAATCTCCATCATGTCAGATTAGGCCCCAAATTCCTTAATAAGATTCCTAGAGCACAAGAATTAAAATCAAGAATCAATAAATGGGATGGATTCAAACTAAAAAGCTTCTTCTCAGCAAAAGAAACAATCAGTGAAGTGAATACAGAGCCTACAGAATGGGAGCAAATTTTTACCCCTCACACATCAGATAGAGCACTAATCTCTAGGATATATAAAGCACCCAAAAAATTTAACACACACAAAAACAACAAAACAACAAAACCCACAAATAAGCCAATCAATAAATGGGCCAAAAAACTGAACAGACACTTCTCAGAAGATGATATACAATCAATCAACAAATATATGAAAAAAATATTCAACACCTCTAGCAATTAGAGAAATGCAAATCAAAACTACTGTAAGAGTTTATCCCATTCCATTCAGAATGGCAGCTATTAATACAAACAACAATAAGTGTTGGTGAGGATGTGGGGAAAAGGCACACTCATACATTGCTGGTGGAGCCAATATGGAAAACAGTATGGAGATTCCTTGGAAATCTTGGAATGGAAACACCATTTGACCCAGTTATCCCTCTCCTAGGACTATACCCAAAGGACTTAAAAAACAGCATACTACAGGGACATAGCCACATCAATAGCAGCACAATTCACAATAGCTAAACTGTGGATCCAACCTAGACGTGCTTCAGTAGATGAATGAGTAAAGAAAATGTGGTGGTATATATCCACAATAGACTCTTACTCAGCAATAAAATAGAATAAAATCATGGCATTTGCAGGTAAATGGATGGGAGTTGGAGAATATAATGCTAAGTAAGCCAATCCCAAATCAAATGCCAAATGTCTTCTCTGATATAAGGATGCTGATTCATAATGGGGCTGGGGGAGAACATGGAAGCAATAGATGAACTTTAGTTCGGGCAAAGGGGAGGGAGGGGAAGGCAGAGGGTGTGAGGGTAGGAAAGACAGTGGAATGAGACAGACATCGTGACCTTAAGTACATGTATGAAAACATAAATGGTGTGACTCTACTTTGTGTTCAACCTGAGATATGAAAAATTGTGCTCTATTTATGTAATATGAAATGAATTGCATTCTGCTGTCATATATAGCAAATTAGAATACATAAAATAAAAAAAAAAACTATTTCAAACAAAACATGCATGTACTCTATGATTCATTAGTCTCTCTCCTAGGTATGTACAAAGAAAAAACCTATTCAAAAGTGTTCACAGCAGCATTAAGATTAATAGCTACAAACTGGAAACAACCATAATTTCTATCAATAGCACAAATGAAAAATAAGTTGTACCATATTCACATAATAGAATATTATACAGGCGTGACAATGAAAGAAGTCCATGCTATATGAAACAGCATGTGTAATCCTCACATTGTTCAGAGAATGAAATAAGTGAGTTCAAGCTCATATTTCCATTTATATGAAGTTACAAAGAAATCAAACCAACCTGCATTGTGAAAAGTCAGGATGGTAATTGCCTCTGGATGGGTATGACAGGAGATTTTGAGAGAGCGGTAAAGTTCTGACTCTTGATCCAAGTGGTGATTATCCCCCTGGGCCACCTTAGTAAAAGTCCTTAAGTTGTATACCTATGACTTAGATCTTTTGTTCCTCTTGGTCTATTTGATTTCAATAAAATTCCCATCCCCCTAAACAAACACAGAAGCATGCCTTCTAATTTTCAGGCAGTTCTTATAGATGGCTGAATAATAATGCTAGGAAAAGAGAAGTTATTGTCTCATTTCAGATACAGGAAGTAGCTCAAATGTCAGCTATCTCACTCCACTCAATTTACAGGTGAATATTTGAAATATAGTTTCATTATTTATTTTATTTTAGTTTTTAAGTACTGGGGATTGAACTCAGGGCACTTTACCACTGAGCTCTGTCCTCAGCCCTTTTTCTTTTTTATTTGAGACAGGGTCTTACTAAGTTTCTGAGGCTAGTCTCAAACTTGTCATCCTCCTGCCTCAGCCTCCTAAATTGCTGGGATTACAGCTATGTGACACCATGCCCAGCTATTTTCATTACCTTTCAGGTATGATGAGGCTAACAGAGAAGAGACGAATGCCATTGAAAAGATGGTTTATTATACTTACAGGTTCCAAAAGAATGGTACTTGCTATACCTTAGGGGGCCACACAAGGAAGCACAAGAGCCTGCCAGGGAACAGAGGGAGTAGAGGGCAACTGGAGCAAGAGCCTTTATTATGGTTTTCACAATAAGGAATGGGTAAGATAGAATAGGCAGGTTTAGGACTGGTTGCTTTGGATAATTCTGTCACATTTGAGGTGCAGTGGCTGTCCCCACCTGTCTAACAATCCTCTGGAATTCAGGCCTGGAGTGTGAGAGCTCCCTAGAGGAAGTGATTAGGGGTGTAGGCTCAGAATTTAGGCCTGGAGTGTGAGAGCTCCTAAGAGGAAGTAGTTAGGGGTGTGGGCTCTGGGATAGTTGGTTAGCACAGGAAAGACATGCACACAGGGAGTTAGCTAGCCCTGGGAAAGGCAGTACCTTCAGGGTCAGCAAATCCCCAAGATGTCAAAGCATCAAAATTACAGAATAAAAAGATAAAATTAGTATGGTGAGTCAGGGTCAAAAAACTTAGTGATCATCCCAAAGTCATCTACTGTCTGTCAGAGCCTGGATTCTCCTGTTCCATGCTGACCATATTGGGGAGGTATTTTTTTTGGTGGCGTGGAGCCTATGATTAAACAACTCACAATATGCAGTCGACACATTTTGGCATTGTCACACATTTCATTTGCATCACAAAAGTTCGGTCAGGTAAGTAGTGAGGAGGGAATGAAAACAGTATGTGCATTTTAGAGAGAAATAAACCAAAAGTCAAAGAGAAAAAAGAATAAATAAATTGTTCAAGGTTGCATAACTAGGAAGAGGAAGAGACCGAAATTAGTACTTTAAATTTTGTTTAGCACATAACCTTTAACTGATGAGGTAAAGAGAACACTGAAAGATAAGGGAGAATAATGGGTGAATCAGAAGTTAAAAAATATATCTAAGTGTGTATTGTAAACCCTCTATATTTCATGGAAAGAAGAGAGCTATGGAAGGGAAGAAGGATCTCGATCCAAGACGGGTGGACAAATTGGCCAAAGAATCTTGAGTCCCAAGGATAAGGGCATTGAGTCAGGTTTGAGCCAAAGCATGCATGGTACTGAGGTTGCATCTGGAAATGCCCTTGTACTCTGGCCTGGGTCTCTCTGCATGGTGGATAGTCACAGGCAGGAAGAGAAGAGAGGGGAAGCCAGAGGGGGTCCTTATAAGCTTTGGTGTGAAAATTTTCCTGTTTATATCTTCAGGCAGGAAAAGAGGGGACCATGAAGACAGAAGGTGAGACCCAGAATGAACTGGACAGAATCCTTCACTGGCTTTGGCCTGGTTGGGTCCCAGGACATGGTAGGTTATGGGCATCTGTGAGTGGGATGGGGATAGGAGTAGGCTTGATGATCAGGGTCTCTGAGGAGACAATCCTTGGGGTCTAGAATTGTTCTGAGCCTTAGGGGGCTATGAATGGAAATCAGATGCTTTCAGGTATGGTGGGAGTGGTGTCAGGAGAGGTTGGGGTTCTGTCTCAGAGGAGCAGAGCTGGGAAGAGGTTCTGGCAGAGTCTCCTAAGAGCTCTTGTCTCTGAGATGGATCTTACCTCTGTCCTGGGCATGGCACAGCCCTACCTCCATGATCTCCCGACACCAGGCCTGCAGCTCAGGATCCCTCCTCACAACATCATCCCTCTGGTAGAAGAGGTGGACCATCCCCTCCACACACTTGCCCAGAGAAGGGAGCTGAAATCTGTGATCCCAGAAGGCTTCAGCCTCTGACCTCTACTACTCTAATCTTGCCACTAAACCTGGGTCAGGTCCTAGTAGACTTGCCTTTTGGAACATTCCCCAGGTTTATGACACAATTGTGTAAAGGAAGTTGTAAGTCAAGAGTTCCAGGAATTCCCTACACTGCACATGGTTGCCAGACACTCTTCTTTACATAATTCCTGATGCCACCAGATCTTATGATTTACTCACTCACAGCTCTCCTCACCTCCATTCCATACCTCCCTCCTACCCTCTTTGCTTTTGCCCTATGCTGATCTCAAGCCAGAACCCCACCCTCCTTCTCCCACTCCCACTCCCCATTTCTTAGCTGCTTCTTACCTACCGGCCAAGGCATCATGAGCATAGAGAGCACTTGGGATTCCCAGAAGACCCCGGTCAGCCAGGTCATCAGGAGAACAGAGGGAGCAATAGGTCAGCTGAGTCATTGCCCGACGGGCCAAATCTAGATGACCACCTCCACCTGTGCTCACTGCCTAGGATGAGAAAGTTAACAGGGCTTGAAGAACAGAATAATTGCCTATTATACAGGGATTCAGAAATGGGTTGTTCAGATTTAAAGTCATCTATGTGATGGAACAGGGCTCACGAGTTTAAGGATCAGGCCATTCATGCAGGTTGGTCTGGGGTCTTGAGGATGTCAAGAAGTTTTAGAGAGATGGATGATTAGGCACACCCATGTTCAAGTTCCTCTTTACCTTTGCAAATATTCCTTCATCTGAGTTAAACTGGATCCGGCCCCGGGTGTTGATTTCCATAGTGTTGTGGATATGGGGCGCCAGGAGCTGGGGTGCAGGAGATTGGAGGGGTGGTTAATGGAGGCCATGCTTGGGTCATTTCTTGTAGGGTCTGGCACACAGCATGGTGTCTTGCTCTCCTCTTGATGCTTTTGTCCCCGCTGCTATTTTGATAGTCTGGTCTCCTGCTCCTCTAACCACTCACTCCCATATCCTCCAACTTCCATGACAGTTGGGCTTTGGAGCCACACAGAGTGGGGTTTGAGTGCACATTTCACTACTCACCTTGATACCTGAGCAACATAATGAACCCTCTAAGTGTCAGTCTCCTCACTAGTTACCAGGGTGTCTTATCTCAGATGCTGCAGTACTGCTTCTGAGAGTGACTGAGCAGCAGGTTTGGAACACTACCTGGCACACAGAAGTTCTTGAGATCATTGCCTTTATTATATTCACCTTGAACACAGTTGTATTTTAAAGAATCTGCCCCTTAACTTTTGATATAATTGTGTTCTTTCTCTATATTTCACATCTTCATAACTTAAACAAGCCTGTGCTTATTTCAAAACCACACATCTAACTACTCATCATTTTCCTTTTTTTTTCAGGTCTTAATCAGGATTAAAGATGTCACATCAAGCTACCTGTTTAAGCCATTCCTAATTAGGCCCTATATGTCCCCTCATGAAGGCCACTTATCATTGACACATGCTTATTTTTATGCTAAGTGGGGGTTTCCCCATTATAACCTGATTGATATACAAGATTCACATAGTTTTTCGCATTTTAATTGTTTGATACTGGGCCAAGGGCAAGATTGAGGCGATACTCCTGGTTTTAAGGAATTAAGGCCCCTCATAACGGTCTTTTCAGAAAATTCATGGAAGGATATTGGCATCACAGAAAACATAAGACCTCCAAAATAAGGGAACAAAGAACCCAAATCAGAGCCCCTAACAATAATGAGGATGATGATGATAATTAATTATGATAACCCATATTTTATCATTTAATGCCTTACAACCCCATGATGGAGATCCTATTATCTCCATTCAGAGATGAGGACCCCAAAGCACACATCTGAGTAAGTACTGAGGCCAAGATTCATTATTCAGATGCTGGTAATCTGCATGCAAAATCTGCCCATATGACCTTTAATGATACCTCCGGTGGGTCCTGATAACAATGCAGCTGTTTGCCATGTGATGAAGTTGTTATATTGAGGTTAGGGACATATGGAGGGGCCAAACCAATAAACAGGGATTTTAAAGTATAAAAATGTACTTAAATAATTTAAGTTAAGAACATGGTGATGCAAAATATCATAAGATCATTAAATAAAGGTTCCATGAACTATATTAATAATTACTTTGCTTTTGTAACCTTAAAAAGCAGAATTACTACAGCCCAGATTAGGATTGGGGTGGGAACTCCAAGCAGCAATACAACTCAATTTCCTTTGTTTATTTTTGTACTGGGGATTGAAACCAGGGGTGCTTTACCACTGAGTTATATCCCCAGTTCTTTTTATTTTCTATTTTGGGACAGGGTCTCACTAAATGGCTGGGTCTGGCCTGGAATTTGTGATTCTCCTGCCCCAGCTCCAGAGTTACTGGGATTACAGGCATGTCTCACTGCATCCACCTACAATTCCGTTGTTCTGCCAGCCAAGTACTCACTCGTATATCTGACCAATACTTCAAACTCCCTGTATCTAAAACTGAAAAGTTCATCTTGGTCTCCAAACTGGCTTCTTTACCTGACTTTGCAGTTTCTGATCATTGCTCTGATGCCTAAGCATGCACATGTTTGCTGCCTTCTTGGCTATGTTCCCTGTATCAAAGTGACATTATGATTTCCAAAAATTTTTAAAGCAAGCACGCATCATTTTTTTCCTGCATTATGCTCAGCAATAGATAACCAGACTCACTCTTTTTAAAAATAAGGTCTGTACAACTCACCCATATTGAGGACTCCCAGGTGTTTCAGAAGCACAGACCTCTAACCTTGCCTCTCCAGTTTTGCACTCAGGCATGCTGCAGTTACTGTTTCCCACGATCACCATTCATTGGTGTCCCTCCCTCCCTTCTTCCCTTCTTTCCTCCCCCGCTCCTGATACCACCATGCAAATGCAGCTCTTTATCCACCTCACTCTTGGGCAGGTTCAAGCGACCTGTCAGGCTTTGCTCTCCCTCTGCTCTCTTTGACTCTGCCCTTTGATCTTCTGCTTATCTGACTACTTCAGTTATGGTGGAACCTCTCCACTAATATTATAGCACCTCTCTATGTCTCTCTAATTCCAGAAATTGTTGTCTGCCTTTCCACACAAATGATAAATCTCCTAAGGCAGAACTAACATTTTGCTTTAACAAATTATATTCCTACTCTATTCCTGACCCATTGCCAGAGAGTTTCAGAGAGCTGACTTACAATGTGTACTTAATTAATCCCAGTATTTGACTTCATAGTGTATTATTTCTTAACTCATGTATATCTACAATTATCTCAAGATAAAAAGAATTTAAGCATTAAAATAAAATCAAGGTCAAGGTCTTGCAATAGTTATCTGTCTCCTTTCTCTGCCTCTGTTCATAAGACACTATGAAGATTCTGTTCATAAGACACACAGAATCTTCATAGTGTCTTATGAACAGAGTGCCAACCATCAATGTCATGGTCATATCTTGAAGACTTAGGCTTTTAAATCCCATACAGCTGATGATTTTTTCCTCTCTCTGAGGTACAAGATGGGACCTGGAGGGTGGAGCTTGAAGACAGGGTGCAGTCCTGGGAGGCACCTCATGGTGGCAACAGCAATGACCTCACCCAGCAGGTGAGTGTTCAGCAAATGATACTGGAGCTCATGCAGTTGGAAATCTGAATTTCAGACCCAGGACTTGGCCAGGAGCCAGGCAAGTGGAGGATCAGAGGGCAGGAACAGTGTTGGGGTAGGAGAACTGGAGGTGGGAAGTTGGAGCTAAAAGAAAGAAGAATCAAACATTCATTGACCTCTTGCCACATGCAAGACACTTTGCTCAGTATTTTGAGGGAAATGGAAATGACTGAAATCAAGTAATTGCTTCTGAGAAAGTGAAAACCAAGTAGGAGGAAGTAGGACACTTCCACATTGCCTGTCACTAGCCATGGTTCCATGTAAGTGTCATGATAGTTTGTGTGAATGCAGGTGAAATGGAAGGAAGCGATCAGTATGGCGGCTCTAACAGTGGTTTGGGGAACACAGGATGGGCGTCTGAGCTTTGGTGGTTGAATGGGAAAAAGAAGGTGAGAATGAGAAATTGACAGTATGTATCAATGACTGTGCAAACAGCAATGAAGATATTAAAATTAAGGAAGAAAAGATGTTTAAGAAAGAAGGGATATTCACCGCATTGAAAGATCAAAAGAGATTGAGTAACTTCAGCATGAAAACCAAGAGAGGCCATTGTGATTCTCAGGTATGCCCAGATAAGTAGTGACCAATCTGAAAACTAGAAGGGAGCCATCAGAAAGATATGAAGATAGTTCTTATTGAGTGAGGTCAGGGGTAGAGATGGAAAGAGAAAAAGAGCCAGGTTTCTCTGTCCTTGGGCAGCAGGTAAGATGAACAGAGAACAGTATTAGGAGTACTTCAGGGTACCTCACCTGGATGACCATAGGTAGCAGCTTCCCATTGGGTTCCATCTTCAGCAGCCAGGTACTGCTTCTCTCTTTGGATCACATTGGTTGGAATTCCATCCAGCAAGATAAAGACAGCCTCAAACAGTGAACCATTCTGGGGAAAGGAGAAATGTATGCATGGTTAAGATTGGAAGACTGGGGCTGGGGTTGGGCTCAGTGACAGAGTGCTTGCCTAGCATGTGTGAGGCTCTGGGTTCGATCCTCAGCATCACATAAAAATAAAATAAATAAAATAAAGGTATTGTGTCCTACTACAACTAAAATAATAATAATAAAAAAGATTGGAAGAATGTCCCCACAGCATCAGAACAAAGGAAAAGAAATGTAAAGATGTTCAATCTATCTTCATGCCATTATCTTACGACACTATTGAAACCTTAGTAGCAGAACCAGAGAAAGTATCAAGAATATCTAGTCCAAATCATCTCACTTTACTGTGAAGAAAGAGGCCCAGTGAGGGAAGGCTCCCTAGGAACAAACCCTTCATTGTGCAGAGGTAGTTTGGGACCATACCTGTCCAATCTACTGTGAACCACAGGCACACTAAGTTCTCCCTTTGTACAAATATCCAGGGTCTGTTTCCCATCATATCCTTAAACACCTGCTACCTGTATTTGGCTCTCACCAGTTGTCAAATGTTTTTTTCTTACATATTTTATTCTCTCTAGATCTTTCCAGCACAGTACTCTGCACCAAGGACAGCAGGTTAAGACAGCATTCCTCCCTCTGACATGCATTTGGTCTCTTAATTTCACTACATCTCTGGGCCACACTGCCAAGGATAGATCAACCGAGTATGGGAGGAAGTACCTGGAGTTCTTTTTTCAACTGGGCCCCCAGTTCCTCTGACCCTGAGGGAAACACCAGCCTAGAGGGCAGAGAAGTAGAGCGTCTCAACAGCATGGGGTTGGCATCATTGAGGAACAGGTAGCCAAACAGTTCATCCTCTTTCCAGTGCTGATGAACCTTCTCTGTGGGGTGGGGATGGAGAATGGGAGGAAGATATTTACCTGGATATTCCTCTCTTGCAAGTTCTAGCCCAAGAATTCAGGCATATGATCATACCCTACCCAGCCCTCATGTTTTCATCCTCAGGCCTCTCTGAGATGACGAGTTATAATTAATGCTCATCTGGCCACAAGATATGGGAGACTCTCAAGTGCAAAGGATGACTTTGGAAAAAAAAGACCTCAAGGGGTCATGAAGGCCTGGGGGAACCACTGACCAGCCAGGGCACTCTTCTGGCCCCAAAATATCTGATCAAATTCTTCGTTTGAAAACCACCTCCAGGGCCCTAGGACAGCATCAGAGGAAACAATCAACTAACCAAATCCCTCCTGATTTGGGATCCACTAGCCCCCACTCCATTCTGACCTTCTCCTTACCCTGTCTTTGTGTCCATTCATAGTTCAGCTTCTTGCCCTCATGGAATCTCATGTCTGGGGGCAGATCATTCTCTGTGTCTGCAGCTATTTTCAGGGGTATCCCTTCCTTCCAGATGCCCCAACTAGCAGATGGGAAAGAGTTGAGGAAGAAATAGGGTCAGGAATGGAGCAGGAGATAGGAAGATGTGGAACAATTAGGAGGTATAAGGGTGGGTGTTCACCGGTAGGTCTGCTGTCTTTCCTCCAGTTCTTTCTTTCTATGCTTCTGGAAGATGTCCAAGGCATTGTCTCCTGCCAGGCGAGCTAGGGAGATGATAGATCACAGCTTTGTCCAAGCTGGTGCCATTCTTGGTTTGTTCTCATCTCTATTCTTGATTGTATTACAGTATACTGTCCCCTTTTTCTTTGGCTCCTCCTCCTCTGATTTGTCTGTGACATCATTTATCTATTTTTGTTCACACCTTATTCCTGATTTTCACCAATCTCCTAAAGCAAATATCCCATGTTTACTATACTTTCTTGTTCTTTAATTCACATTCGTCTACCAGTCCCTACTCATCATTATCTCTGAATCCTCTGCTTAATCTCCTGCCATGTCCATACCTAGCCTGCATAATCACATAATAGTTTGGTACATTTAGCCAGTCCTGGCCTTTCCCTGTCCTCATCTTCCCCTCTCTCCTAAATGACATATTTCATGTTAGCTCTACTTATATACACTACCCTTCTCCACCTCCACCCTTAACTGTTCCTGATTACAAGAATTTCTGTGCATGTTACTTTCAGCCTCTTATCCTACCTGTGAGAACAAAAGGTTCCAAGAGTCTATCAGTCTCCCCATCCCATAATTTATATAAAACTAACTTGTTTCTGTTCTCACCTGTATTTAACTTCACTTGTTCTTTTTTTTAAAAGGTATTTGTTAATTTTTAAAAAATTAATTAATTATTATTTTTACAGTAGAATGCGTTTTGACATATTGTATGCAAATGTGCACAACTTTTCTTTCTTTTTTTTAGAGAGAGAGAGAGAGAGAATTTTTAATATTTATTTTTTAGTTTTCGTCGGACACAGCATCTTTGTTTGTATGTGGTGCTGAGGATCGAACCAGGGCCGCACGTATGCCAGGCAAGCGCGCTACCGCTTGAGCCACATCCCCAGCCCCTTCACCCCCTTTACTTCTTCTTCAGAAGCACATATTCCATGTTTCTATTCTTACCATGTCCATATCCCTAATTGTGTCACGATGTTTTTCTCCTTTTTTCCCATGGTAACAATTTCAGCTTTTGCTGTCCTCATTCATCCCCATCTTCTGCCTTGTCTCCGCTCCCCACAGTTGAATTCCCTGTTATTCTACCCCAAACAGCTCTCCAACATCGTTGTCATTTGTTTCCATAGCTGTGTCCTGCTCTCAAGTTACTGACCACCTTTATTCCATGGGCCCCTTTACCTGTTGCTGCCCTAACATAGAGGTATCCTTTCTACTTTGCTTCTCTGTTTTCCTTCATTGCTGCATCCCACTCCCTATCCTCACCTTTTTGGAAGAGAATCTCCAGATCCTTATCCCTCTTCAGCCTCACTCGCACCATCACTTATTCTGGGTAAAACTTTGGGTCTTCACAACTTCTTCCCTTTTCCTGTCATGCATCCTGGAATCCCTGCACTCCACGTGCCTCGGGGTCTATCCTTTCTCTAAGCACCACCGACCTTACTCAGTCCTTTTCTGCTCCTCTGCCCCCAGCACTTCCTGAGGAGGACTTGCTCCCACTTCCCCAACGCTGCCGGCTCACCAGTGCCCTCGGGCAGGCTCAGGACGCCCGTGCCTTGCACGCAGCGGTAGCACGGGAACGCGGTCTCTGCGGTCTCCGCGGAGGTTCCCGGACCTTGCACGGTGATGCGATCGATCGCAGATCACAGAACCACGCGCTGTCCACCAGTGAGTGCTGTTTGCGCAGCTTCACGAACTGCAACGGCCCCAGATCCTCTGGAGTGTCCAGAACAAACTCCTCCTCCTGTGGGGGCCAGACCCGCCAGACTTAGCTGAAGGACCTGGAGAAGCCGTTCTGAGGGCAGAACGGGCCCTTCGTGGAACTTCAGTTTATCAGGGCCTCGGAAGACATATCACCTCCCTTCCTCCTCCGCATGACCTGTCCCAGGGGTCTCTGTTAGGCTCTATTTCAGCGCGAGCAAGCGGGGGCCCGCAGTGCATTGCAAGCAGTGACTTGAACTGACGATGGAGCATCATCCTTCACTGAGGATCGTGCTTGCAGGAGCTTCAAGGCTGACCACTGGTGGCATAGTTACACTGACTCTGGGGTCATTTGGAGATGGAGTTGGAGGCCGCCAGGACCAGAGTCGGAGAAATGAAGAAGGGGGTTGAGCCTAATCCGGAATTAGGACTCCTAACACTACCCGCTTCTCCGGGGACCCCGTTTCTCCCTACGCTGCGGAAGTACCACCCCGGGCTGTCCTGTTGGAACTCTCCCCTAGTCTCCTACTGCTCGCCCACATCGCTCTGCAATCCTAGCCTGGCTGATGGCAGATATCCGGGCTCCCACCCACTAACCTCGCCCCGCCTGGGTCGCAGCTGCTGCTCCAGCTCTGCCTCCCGGTGAGCCCCCACCAGCCACAGCTGCACGTGGTTATGCGACCCTGAGAAAACCCAGGCCCCAGGGGCCAAGCGGTTGCGGTAGCGGCCCAGGGTACCCCCGGCCTGCTGCCTCTGTAATAGCTGTCCGTTAATAAGCCTTGGGAAAGGTCTAGGGGACCTGCTTTTGATGCGTTGCCTGAAGGACCAGTCCCCAGCTTAATAAAGTAGGGTTTTGTGTGTCCGCCCACTGTAGGATTGGGGCGTTTCAGGTACCCACCCCAGACAGACCTGAACCTGCAATTATCCCCATGTGGAGGTGGAGGTGGCTGCTCCTCTCTGTGGACAAGAGCGACTTTGAGGAAGGTGAGGGGCCAAGCGAGGGGGCACGAAGAAGGGGAGTGGGGACAGGCTGAGTCCATCAGAGTTTCTCTCCAGGCCTCTCTTCTTCCCCTCCTGTTTTGATACTGAGTAGCACAGAGTGAGCATTTCCTGAAAGATCTTGGGTGCCAATGTCCGTTCTTTACAGCCTTACCTTGTGCCCATGTCAACTGTACCCACCTTCCTTTCTTCTACCAGATTTTGCCTCCTGAAGGGCATTGGGATTGTCCTTTTTGGTCACAGAAGGCTCCTTTTGAGGGACAATCAAGAGTTCAGGGGGAAATTATAGTCTTCACTGTAATATGATTTTATATATTGATCCACTTAGAGAGGAGCTGATTTTAAAATTTTCTTTTATTTTCTATCCTTCATACCCACCCCAAGAGAAGTCATTTTTTTTCAGTAGTCCATTTCGATTCCTTATTTCCACTCTTTCCTGTTCATAGAATTACTTATATGTTGTTTTGTATGTAAACATGAGGTAACATTAATTTTTTTCTTGGAACTTGTTTTTCACAGTACATGATACAAATAACAATGCATGATGGGAGAGAACTCCATGATGGAAATATTCAGATCATTAGGTAGAGATCTAATTATTGTATTCACTAACTTTTAGGATTCTCCTCTTGGTGAATCTTTATGGTGTTATTAGTAGTTATAACCATGATGAATGCTTTAAAACACGCATACATATGTGTGTATACACATACACATATTTACAGATATGTATTCTGAATACACAGAGCTTTTATATTATAGGTTCTCAAAAATGGGATTACTGAGTAATATGGCATCCACATATTTTATGCTCATATTGTAAATGTTTTCCAGAAAGGTTATTATATGGTATCAAAATGTCCTGAGGGGGTATGGGGGGTAGGAAAGATGGTGGAATGAGATTAACATCATTATCCTAAGTACATGTAAGAAGATATGAATGGTGTGACTATGTACAACCAGAGATATGAAAAATTGTGCTCTATATGTATAATATGAATTGTAATGTATTCTGCTGTTACATATAAAAATTAAAATTTTTAAAAAATGCAAAAAGTTTTTTCCTAGCATCTTTACCAACACAAGGGGTTATCACTTTTTAATTTTTACTTGGTAAAAAGTGAACAATTAGGTGGATGGAAGGGTCTGGAATTTTACATTTATAAGCTAATGAGTTCATTAATGGGTTATCCCATTACCAGTTGGAAGAGGCTGACAAAATACCCAAGACCCCTGGTTCAGAGAAAAAGGATTGAATTATTCATTGCTTCATGTTCACATCAGCTCCCGCTGCCCGCAATTCCATGGGGTGACACAGATGGGCCTAGATGATCTGTGTTATAGGAGAGGACCACTGAGTTTGAGGGACTTACTACTTTTGTAGTAAATAGAAGCAAGTCTGTTCTGTGTCTGGGAGAAATCACCTCGTTCTCCAGGTTTCTTGCTGCAAACACAACTCTTAGACACATCCTGAATAAAGTTGACACAGGGCATTGCATTCCTGGCACAATCAAAAAAATATGCTGATTTGAAACTTGGGAAAAGGTGCCACTACCCATGTAGAATCAACAAAGGATCTTGAGTAGGGGTGATGGGAGATGTAGAAAAACACAAAGAAAACACAGAGACATTTTTAAGTAAAGATGGGGCCAGGTGGGACATTGTCCTCTGATGGAGGAATAATGACATAGCATATTCTAAGGATTGAAACCATTTAGGTCATTTAATAGCTGTTTTGCAAAAATGGAAGGAGATGACATAGGAATCTTACTTTTCTGTATGACTTGGATGTAGTGGTGCAGTTGTAAGAGATTTAAACTGTATTAAAGGAAGAGTGAGATGCCGTGAAAAGGGACAGTGGCAGAGGGATACAGGGTTGGGGAAGTCACACAGAAAATGTTACTGTAGGTGGCCCAAAGGTCATGTGATTGAGGATTTAGAGAAACCTCGAGCTAAACACCACTGTTAAAAGCCAGATCCCTCAGCCCTATGGGGCTCAGTGGGCCAAAACTTCTGTCATTTAGGTTACGGATGCTTAAGGAAAGGCTAGAAGTAAGTGTTGATTCCTGGAAGAATTTTTTTTGTTTGTTTCAGGAAAACGCCTTTCTTTTATCCCTTGAAAACTGAATAAGAAGGCAAGAAACAAAGAAACAAAGTAAGGTATTTTCTCTCACCTTCACTTACCACATAATCAACATGACAATTTAATCAGGTCTTTTATTTATATATAGA